TAGTTAAAAGAAAAAGGTTCATGCTGTAGTTCATAGAAATGTACTTGGGGACTCAATGTAGCTTGGTTCCTCCAGAAATTTAAAAAATTTATCCAGTGCACAATCTAAAAAACAAATATCAACATGTCAAGGGACACAACACATTATATCAAATCATGTAAAAACTATTGATAGATTGTAATATGAAAGTTAAAATAAATGGAAAATCAGAGATGAACGAGCATTAAACAAAAAGAAGGTGTCAAAAACTTTCAAACACCTTGACCTAACAATTGATCAATTTAGGTTACAAAGTAAACTAAAATTAAAAAAATATTGAAAATCCAATTAATAGACCCTAACCCTATAAATCTAATATGCAATTTGAGTACACAAGATACGAACCAATTTTTGTTGCACTGTTCACTTGTATCAAAATGGATCCTATACTGAATTTTCACCTACCAATATGAAAACAAAGATTGATCTGAGAGGTGAGTGAGAGAGAGAACGTTCTTGAAGGAGGAACACCTCAACTGACTATCGTGAGAAGGAATCCAAAATATATCTTCTCAATTTCAAAAAACATAAATTACTCTGTTTCTCGGGACAAATTTAGCGTATTAAGGGCAGGCAGAGTGAAGTGGTTGAAGTGGCAGCAACACACACACACACACAAAACCCTCACTGCTATCATCAACCACTCTGCTCATGGAAACAAGAGATTTCCCTTATGTACAATACTTGCAAGGTTTCCAATCCTAAGCATGTACATAATATCATGCTCAAATATTAATTGAACTTCACACAAATAAAAGCAACAGGACCAACCAAATTTTAAGACCATCAAAAAATCATGGAGCAGGGATCCTTGAAATTAAAGCTTCGGAATTTACTAATTCGCTAGCACCACCATATTCCCACACCCACAGCTCACACGGTAAGAAAAATTAAAACCCAAAAATAAGGAAGAGAACCTACACAAATCGGGGAAATTATTTATGCAAATCAGGAAAAGAAAAACATTTAAAACTGTAAGAATCCATTTAAGTGCATAGAGTCAATACCAGTGTTTGATCAGAGGTGAAATCGTAATGTTTCACCGTCGGTTTGTCGTCAAATCGGGAACGAAGTAGCTGATGAATCAATCGAATTTTCTTGGCGGACGAATGGAAGATATGGGGGCGGCGCATGCAACCATGGCTTGTTAAAGGACGGACTGTTTGTGCGTGTGTATGTGTGTTTGTGTGTGTGTGTGGGAGAGAGAGAGAGAGAGAGAGAGAGAGAGAGAGAGAGACTGGAGGGGTTGTAGTAACAGACAAAATGCAAAAGACTCTGTGTGATTGAGAACCAAAGACTTGGGTCTGTCTTTGTATTTGTTTCTTCTTCCGATGTACTAAAAAAAAAAAAAAAAACACACAAAACAGCCGGAAAAAAAAAAATTAGATTTGATAATCTCAACTATTTAATACGTAGTGGATCCCAATAAATACTGTGATTCACACTGAAATCAATGGTTGAGATTATCAAATCTATTTTTTAAATCCATATAATATTGCTCAAAAAAAAAGTGCATGTATTGTATATAAATATGATAATATTCTGACTTCAGTTAAAAAAGGTACGTGTACATGTATTTTTATAGTTTATACATGTATTTATAGAGAAAATAAGAACTCAAAAGTTTTTTACATTTAAGCCAATTTTTTGGTTTAAAGCATAACTTTAAAAATTATTTAAGGACAAAATTGGAGTGAGACATTTCAAGGATAAGGATGTTATAGTTGAATTATTGGAGGACAAAGGTGGAAAAAATATTTTTCAAGTATGTTAATATTTTAAAGTAGTATATATATAGATAAAATATAAAATTTCGAATTTAAATTATCAATAAAAAAATTAATTTATATCTAATTAAACGAATTCAAACTCAGATCAGATTCAATTGACGGGCCTATAATATAAAAGGCAATATAGTTTATGAAAAGGATTGCACAATCATGCATTTTCTTTTTCATTTTCTTTTAAACTCTTTCGATCTCTCTCCCAATTTCCCTCCCCTTCATTCGGCAAATTCAAGTAAAAAAATAGTAAATTAGACAAACATAAGATTAGACAAAATAACTATTATCTGCATCTTAATTTTATGTCATACCAAACACGGGATAGGATAAAAATTATTTTTATCATTTATTGAATTTTATATTTTATCCACTTATATAGAATTATTAATATAATTTCTTTTTTTATTAATACGACAATCAAACGCCCTCTAGTATCAGAAACTTATTTGAACCTACGTGTTCGAATCGGGTGCCAGGGACTACTAATTCCTCTGCTCTTGACCATTATACCCTTTGGAATGTGTTAAGAAATATAGGGTTATTTTATTTATTAAGAGTAGAATAATCATTTACTTTCTCTGTCTTGTTTAACTTATATATAGTCTCTTTGTATTTAGGTTAACTTACTTCCTTGTATTTCAATTGAATTATGCAGTATCAATAAAACCTTAGCCTCCTCTTTTCTTATCTCTTGTATTTCTTTAGATTGTTTAACATGGTATCAAAGCAAAGTTTCACAGGACAAAGCTTAATCTCAAACACAGTTTACGTTTTGAAAAGGTATTTGATCCATTTAAGCAATCTGATATTTGTTCTGTTTTTTGTAATCTGGTATTTGTTCCGTTTTTGTAATCTGGTATTTGTTCCATTTTTTGCAATCTGATTTTCTTTGTTTGTTGATTATGGCTACTACAAGAGACGATTCGCTTCAGTGTGTGAGTGTGAGGTTGGATGGAAAGAATTATTCGTATTGGAGTTATGTGATGAGAAATTTTCTTAAAGATAAAAAGTTATGGGTATATGTTAGTGGAACTTTTGTGAAACCTAAGAATACTGATGCGGGTTATGCTGATTTGATAGATGTCTAGGAAGCAGACAATGCAAAAATTATTACTTTGATCAACAATTCTATTGAGCATTCTATAAGTACGCAGTTGGCAAAGTATGAGACAGAAAATGAGGTTTGGGATCATCTGCAAAGGTTATTCACTCAATCAAATTTTGTAAAGCAGTATCAATTGAAGCATGACAAACGAGCTCTTCAGCAGAAGAATATGAGTATTCAAGAGTTTTATTCTGCTATGACATATCTTTGGGATCAATTAGCTCTTACAGAATCGATTGAATTAAAGGCATGTGGTGCCTATATTGCTCGTAGAGAGCAACAACAGTTGATACAGTTTTTAATGGCATTTCGTAGTGATTTTGAAGGACTTAGAGGTTCAATTTTGCATCGTTCATCACTTCCTTCTGTTCTAGCAATACCTTCTAAACTATTCTCTCATAATCAGAATAAGCCTTACACAAGGCCTGCCTTCAACGGGTGCAGTTTCTGTAAGCAGAAAAGTCATTGGAAGGCTCAATGTCCTAAGTTAAGACAACAGAATCAATCACAGCAGCATTCTCAAGCTTGGAAGTCTGACGACCAGTCACAATTTAATGCTCCTAGACCACCTCAAGGTTACAAACCACCACAGTCTAATACTGCAGCAGTAATTTCATCAGGTCCTTTCACCGATTCCAGTACCTTGGCTGAGCAATTTCAAAAGTTTCTCTCCTTACAACCACAAGCTATGTCTGCTTCTTCTTCAGGAGGTCAGTTGCCTCATAATTCTTCAAGTATGTCACATTCTGTATGAGTCTTGAATTTTGGTACCTCACATCATATGTCTCTAGATTTTTCATCTTTTACTTCTTTATTTCCTTCATCTTCTATTCCTGTTATAAATGTTGATGGCACTCCTATGCTTTTAGCAGGTGTTGGTTCTGTTGTCACAACTCACTTGTCTTTCCCTAATGTTTATCATATTCCAAAACTCACATTAAATCTTACTTTTGTTGGTCAGTTATGTGATTCTGAAAATTTAGTCACCTTTTCCTCTTCTTCTTGTTATGTGCAGGATTTGCAGTCTCAAAAGCTGATTGGGACAGGGCGTAGGAATGGGGGACTATATATTTTGGATGAGTTAAAAATGTCAGCTGTTGCTGCTGCTACTAGTGTTGATTTATCTTCTTTTCGTTTGAGTCCTTCTTCTTTTAGTTTTTATTTATGGCATTCTCGTTTAAGTTATGTTTCGTCTTTTCGTTTGAGATTTTTGGCATCCACAGGGGCTTTAGGAAATTTGAAAACTTGTGATATTTCTAATTGTAGTGGATGTAAACTAACAAGATTTTCAGCTTTACCTTTTAATCGAAGTATTTCTGTTTCTTCTTCTCCATTTGATTTGATTCATTCTGATGTATGGGGACCTTCTCCTGTTGTCACAAAAGGAGGGTCTCGATATTATATTTCTTTTATTGATGAACGAACTAAGCACATTGAGATTGTTTGTCATCTTACTCGTCATCATCTCAAGCATGACACCATTACTTTGCCCTTTATTTCTTCTTCTTTGCAGGTTGCAGATTTCTTTACCAAGTCATATTCTATTTTCCGTTTTTGTTTTCTAGTTGGCAAACTCTCAATATTTGTCGCTGCTGCATCATGAGTTTGAGGGGAGATGTTAAGAAATATAGGGATATTTTGTTTATTAAGGGTAGAATAGTCTTTTACTTTTCCTGCCTTGTTTAGCTTATATAGTCTCTTTGTATTTAGAATAGTCCTTTATTTTTTCTGTCTTGTTTAGCTTATATATAGTCTCTTTGTATTTAAATTAACTTACTTCTTTGTATTTCAATTGAATTATGTAATATCAATAAAACTTAAATTTTTTTTTTTTTTATCTCTCGTATTTGTTTAGATTATTCAACAGAAAGATCATCCCAGCAAGGAAAATTCATATCTTTGAATAATCAACTTTGTAGGAAGCAGTCAGGTTCACAAAATGGGAAAATTGTAAATGGCAATGTCTGCCACGACATCACAATGAAAATAGACCCATGGGACTCAACAAAGGCGGCTGAAGAAAGTCTTTGTACCTGTTACTACTACCTGAATTCTCCGCACTGAGAGCTTTAATGGCTACCAAAGGAAGAATGAGAAACCTTCTTCTTCTCTCTTTGTCATGCTACTGTTTCTTCATCAGCCCTGTGTACTCACAAACGCACACAATCTTCTGGGGTCAACAGATGGGAGATAGGGAGGAGCTGATTTCAGAAAACAAGGTCTTTGTATTGAAATTCTTTAGTACTGGGACTACAGGCAGCCGTTATTTAGGCATATTTTACAACACAGGACGACCTGACGAGAAGGCCGTGTGGGTGGCGAACCGAAACAGCCCTATCCTTGATGCATCCGGGAGCCTGACAATCGACGTTGATGGCCGGTTGACAATTTCATGCAGTGGAGGCATTAATGCTGTTTTATCTAATTCTCTTCCAGCAAATGCAAGTGCTACACTGCAGGATTCGGGCAATTTTGTACTGAGCGAACTCAATTCAAATGCGGGTTTTGTGGCAAAGCTTTGATTATCCTACGGACACGCTTCTACCGGGAATGAAACTTGGTATCAACTTCAAAACTGGGCATAAATGGTCACTGACTTCTTGGATAAGTGAGGAGGTTCCTGCCTCTGGTTCTTTTACCTTTGGTGGAGACCCCAATGGTACAAGTCAACTGGTAATCTGGTGGCGAGGGGGTGTATCCTGGACTAGTGGACTATGGCGCGATGGGTACTTCGATAACACAACCCAGTTATCCAATGAAGACTACTACAGCTTCAGCTATGTCTCCAATGAGGATGAGAAATACTTGACATACTCGGTGAATAGCAGCAATACTTCACCAAGATACACCATACAACCATATGGTGCCGTTTATGACAGAAATGGAATGTCGCCTTTTGGTGATTGTGATTTCCGTAGATACGCCTTTCCTGGGTGCGGCTTCAGCATGGGGGCATCACCAGAGTGCAGAAAAAATAACCGCTGGTCAGGCCAAGATCAAGGGTTTGTATACGGTGATGGATTCAAATACGATGAAAGATCCAACTTGAGTTTCTATGATTGCAAGCAAATTTGCTGGAACAATTGCTCTTGTGTTGCCTGTGCTTCCACTAGTTTAAACGGAACTGGATGCGAGATTTGGAGCCGAGTGACTTCTTACGAAACAAGCCCCGATTCTTATACCAGAAGGACCTTCGTATTTATTCAATCAGAGACGGAAACGGGTTAGTTTGTATCATTCGAGACATTTAAATATAACACACATCCAATTTTGGTGCATGTATGATTAATTCTATTTGTAAACAAAACATGGGAGGACAGAGCTATGCATCATACCATAATGACCTCCCCCTCATAGTTATCTGGAAGTTTCTGAATCAGAAGAAGCTTCTAATAAATCCAGCATATTTTTTTCTGCAATCCTGCATGAGGAAAAAAAAAGTGTTTGTAATAAAGCATAGATGGATATATGGCTAGATGTATTGTGAACAGAGAGTAAATATCACTATTATGAGATTTTAAAGATGGTCTTTCAATGCAGCAAAGAAGAAGTGGTGGCTATGGCTAATTATTGCGGCGGGCATTTCAGCTGTACTCGTGCTATTATGCTTCTCATACTATTTAGTGCAAAGAAAGCTCAAAGTAAAAGGTGAGCTCCGCAACTTATCACATATAGAAAGAACATTTCTAACTAAATTCAAACCCGTCCAAAAAAAAAAACTAAATTTAAACGAATATAGTTTTTGAAAACTTAATCTCCTTGTTTATCTATTAGGGAAGAGCAAAAGAAGCCAGAATATGATGCTGTCTCAGCTGGGAGGTAATCCAGCACTTGGCACCAAATACAACAAAGCAAATAATCACAAAACAGACGAGGGGACGAACCAAGAATTGCATTTTTTCAGCTTTGAAAGCATTGCAGCTGCCACAAACAGTTTCTCAATCACAAATAAGCTAGGAGAAGGTGGCTTTGGACCAGTTTATAAGGTAAAATTTGTACACTCTACAAGTTAAAATGATTTGAGAAAAGCAGTTATTGGCAATATTTCAGGGAAGATTACCTGATGGACAAGCAATAGCAATAAAAAGACTTTCAAGAAGTTCAGGGCAAGGACTGGTGGAATTCAAAAATGAAATCCTTCTAATTTCTAAACTCCAACACACTAATCTTGTTAGGCTATTAGCATGTTGTATTCAAGAGGATGAGAAAATTTTAGTATATGAATTCATGCCCAACAAGAGCTTGGATTTCTTCCTTTTCGGTATGCAATCCTCAACACTTGTAACTTTGTCTTTTGGATATGATCCATAATTCTTCCATACTTTAGCAGTCATTTGTACTCAACATCAAATATATCTGCTGCAAACAGATCCTACAAGAAGGCAATTACTGAAATGGGCAAACCGCTTCAACATCATTGAAGGAATTGCTCAAGGGCTACTTTACCTCCATAAATATTCGAGATTGAGAGTTATTCATAGAGATTTGAAAGCCAGCAACATCTTATTAGATGACAATATGAACCCAAAAATATCAGATTTCGGCATGGCAAGAATATTTGGGCTTAGTGAATCAGAAGCAAACACCAACAGAGTTGTGGGCACATAGTAAGGCAAAAAAAATTGAAAATGTTCATCATTTGAATGTCCACACAAGGTTTAACACTAAATTTCTTTTGAATCTTCAGCGGTTACATGTCTCCAGAGTATGCCCTTCAAGGCGTTGTTTCACTGAAGATTGATGTATTCAGCTTTGGAGTTTTACTACTAGAGATTGTGAGCAGCAAGAAGAACAATAGTTGCTATCATCCAGACTATCCACTCAACCTCGTAGGATATGTACGTTTGTCACTCAAATCCAATCTTTGTCTGTCAATTCATGATCAGGGCGTATTGATTTACATAAGGCAGCTAACGTTACAAACTACTGTATATGAACTTTCTTGTATCAGGCATGGGAACTGTGGCAACAAGGTACAGTCTTAGAGATACTGGATCCAACATTAGACGAATCTTGCGATCGTAATAAAGTAATGAGGTGCATACCTGTGGGTTTTTTGTGCGTACAAGACAATGCAATGGACAGATCCTCCATGTCAGATGTTGTTTCCATGCTTAAAAATGAAACCATGACTCTACCTATACCAAAGAAACCAGCATTCTTCATACAAATGAGTACACCAAAGGTGGAGATATGTGGCAAGTCAGAAAACCAGTCAAGCAACGGGCTATCGATTTCAGTGCTGGAAGCCAGATAAAGGTATAATTCATGCATGGGATACAAATGTTTCTCACAGCAGGTGTCAAGGGTTTGGGTTCAGGGCGTGGTGGTATATATATATGCGCTTCTGTGCTTACATCATTAAGTGAAAAATAAATATTGACTTTAAGATAAGAGTAATATGCTTAGAGGAGACATAGGAAACCATTGGAAATAAAGATGTAATAATAGAAAGCTGTAAGGGGGACAACCCCTGAAATGAATAACCTTGTATTAGTTTTTTTTTGGAATAGAAACAATATTTTTATTGATACGGAATATAATGAAAGAGGAGAGGCATTACAAAATTTGGAACATTCTCCTACCAAACAATAGAACCCTTAATAGAACAATCATGTTTAGCTAAATTAAATGCTACCCTATTATCATTTCTTCTTACCATAACAATTTCATGGTAACTTAGGTTGCGTTTGGTAACCGATATTTTTTGTTTTTTTTTTCATTTTATGGTAAAAAATAAAATAAAAATATGTTTGACGAATGTTTTCATTTTTTTTTTATTTCTCTGTTTTGCTAAAATACGAAAACATCAAAAATTATGTTTTTTAAAACATGAAAAAAAACACACGCGCGCCTCAGTTAATGAAGTCTTGCCATCGAATCTTGTTAACACCAAAATTTAAGATTTTTTGTTGGAACTATAAAAGCCCTTTTCCTTTTTTTTTTTTTTTTTTTTTCTCTCTCGATGCTTTCTCTCTTCTGAAACCGAAGTGGGTTTCGTCTCTGCCGCTGGATTCTCCCTTCTGAAACCGAAGCCAAAGACGCTCAGAATGGAAGATGAAATCAGAAGACGAAAACGAAACCACTTCGTCTCTCTCCCTCGTGGTCAGTGTTTTTCCTTAGATCTATACATAGATCTATGGATATATATACATATATATATAGATCGGTATATATGTGTGTGTGTGTGTATATATATATATATATATATCGGTATATATATACATATATAGACATAGATCTACATCGATGGTTGTGATTTCAGTGGTGGTGGGGGTGGGTTTCAGTGGTGGTGGGGGTGGGTTTCGGTGGTTGGGCGTGGTCAGTGGGGTGGTGGTCGTCGTCGTTTTCAGTGGTGGGGGTGGGTTGTGGGTTTCGGTGGTGGGGTTGGGGGTGGGTTTCGGTTGGGTGGTCAGTGAGGTTGGGGGTGGTCAGTGGGGTTGGGGGTGGCGATGGTGGCTGGGTGGTGGTGGGTTTCCGGTGCTTTGGTGGTGGCGATGGTGGATGGGTGGTGTTGGGTTTTCGGTGCTTTGGTGGTGGCGATGGTGGCTGGGTGAAGTGGGTTTTCATTGAGTTGGGTGGAGGTGTATTTGTGATTAAAAAAATTAATCAAAATAACCACAATCAGTTATGAAAATGTTATTATAATACCAAACATATTTTTTATTTTTATTTTTTAAAATTTTTAAATATAAATGACTGTCATGTATTATATTTTTAATTTTTATCACAGAAAAAATAAAAATTTATTAGAGTTTTTTTTTAAAAAAAATACATAAAAACGAAAACGTTACCAAACGTACCCTTAATCTTTGAAGTTCCGTCTTGATGCTATCCAGATTCTTTCCCACCAAACCAGTTTGTGCATGTGTCTCCGTTGCTTTAAAAGACTTCAGCAGCTTAATTGAATTCCCTTCCAAAATGACAGCCTGCACCCCTTGACGAATAACAAAACAAATAGCTTCCTTCATGGCAGTGGATACCATGTCCATGCTCATCTCTCTGCAACTAAATTTCATTACCATACCAGCCACAAATCCACAGTTGTGATCCCTGATAACAATTCCAACACCAGCTTATTGGCCTTCCGAAAGCACAACACCACATAAATTAATCTTAAACAGGCTAGCTCTAGGAGGGACCCAAGACGCAGAGATAGACCTGTGGTAAGGGTCTTCATGCATCGTTTGACAGCTGAAAATAATCTAGATATTCCCCAGCTTCTCTTACTATAGTAGCAGGATCCTTGAGTATTATGTACATGTTTGGGGATTGGAGCATTGCATTGTATCATGGTGCATTTATAGCATTTCACAAGTTATTTGCAAAAAAGTCACATTAAAACTAAATTATTATTTTTTTCTACTAGACGATGGCTCGTCCCTATCCCATTTTGAAAGTCTTAAAGCAAGGTCATGAAGGGAGTTCAGTTCCTCATTGCTTGGAGTTCATGCTTGGTTAGTTATAGTGCGAGTATGCATCGTGTATAAAGTTTTAACTACTCTTGATATAATCATGTGATGGTGTTGTGAACCCACAAAACCATCAAGAAAATGTCATGAAAGCAAGCATAGATGACAGATTCAGGCAATGACAGTTGGTTTTGTTAGAGACAGTTAGTAATATAAAGAATTTCACATTAGAAAAGTTGAAAGGGAATGTAAGGGTTTAAAAGGAGAAACACACTAAATTTTATAAATTTAGATGATGGAAAGATTTAGAGGGAAACTCCAAATATTTCAAATCAATGGACCTTGATTAAATTTTAAATAAAATAATCTTTAAAGCCAAAAGATTAAAACCTTTAAATAATTAATTATTTTTGTATTAATTAATTGTTAAATATCTTTTGATCCAAGAATTATGTCTCCTCACTAAGGTATTATAAATACTTATACGGATCTTTCAATTAAAGTATATACAAAAAAAACGTTTTTGTATTCTATTTTTGGGAGAATTTTAGAGTTTGCTATCTGAAATTCTATTTGATTTTGTTAATCTCAAATAAATTTACCATAAATCCAACAACAACATAATGAGAGCATAATTTCCATAAGAACGGTGAATACACGATCAAAATCCTCTAATTTGGTGAAATCCTATTTTGCTAACAGGTTTTACCCGTAACTGATGGGCCTTCTGGGTTCGACTCGTCCTGAATCAAAACCATCTCTTTCAGGGTCGACTCGACCTGGTAATTTTGGTCTTACTGCCGCCAACACTCATGC